CGCCTGCCCGTGCCCAGAAGATGACCAGGCTGCTCTTGGGGGTGACCCTGGAAAGGATTTGCAAGGCTGTGCTGCTGCTCTGCCTGCTCCACTTCGTCATCATCATGATCCTCTACTTCGACGTCTACGCGCAGCACCTGGACTTCTTCAGCCGCTTCAATGCCACTCACCCCTTCTCCACCTCCTCCCGCCCCAACGGCACCGTCCCCAGCTACGGGCCGGCCGGCGCTGAGGCCCCGTCCCCCAGCGCCAAGCCCAGCACCAACCAGTCCACCACTGAGAAGCCCTTGCAGCCCTGCCAAGAGATGCCTCCCGGCTTAGGTGAGAGACTTGCGGGGTGAGCGTTGCGGGGCAGCTGGGTGCTGGCTCTGAGTGTGGAGCTGAGGTGGGTGCCCATGGGTGACATTCTTATTCTCTGGGCCCTGGACATGGCTTCCCAGTGTTCCCAGGGGTGGAGCAGTAAAGAAACCTCAGCTTGGAACTGGTACCAGGACAGCTGGTTTCAGGTTTTGTTAGAAGCTTGCCCAGTCTCTCTGCCCCTGTTTGGGAAAGATTTTGGGTGTCCTTTGCCCTCGGCAGTGCTGGTCCCCCTTGCAGGTCCCCCTGGCTGTTTGCTCCACTGGCCTGCCCAGGAGCAGCAGGTGACCATGACCCAGATTGTGTCTGTCCTGCGGACATCACCCTGCCCTCCCTCTTGCAGTCGGGCGTCTGCTCATCGAGTTCAGCTCTCCCATGAGCATGGAGCGGGTGCAGCGGGAGAACCCCGATGTGCGCTTGGGTGGCAAGTACACCCCGCCAGACTGCCTGCCCCGGCAGAAGGTGGCCATCCTCATCCCCTTCCGGCACCGTGAACACCATCTCAAATACTGGCTGCACTACCTGCACCCCATCCTGCGCCGGCAGAAGGTGGCTTATGGCATCTACATTGTCAACCAGGTGAGGGGATCATGGGCGAGGGGTTGGTGGGGCCGGGGTAGGCAGCCAGGCATTGCTGAGTTCTGCCCCACAGTTCGGGGAGGACACCTTCAACCGGGCCAAACTGCTCAACGTGGGGTTCCTGGAGGCCCTCAAGGATGATGAGGAGTACGACTGCTTCATCTTCAGTGACGTGGACCTCATCCCCATGGATGACCGCAACCTCTATCGCTGCTATGAACAGCCGCGGCACTTTGCTGTTGGCATGGACAAGTTTGGGTTCAGGTGGGTGCTCTGCGGGGCTGGGGTGTTTCCCTTAGCATGGCTGGGATGTCACTGGGGGCCACCAACCTTGGTGGTCGCCTGGGACAGGCGTGGGGTCACTGGCTCGAATTGTGGACATGGGATGGGAGAGGGTGCAGAGCCCTGGGTAGGAGGGTGACACAGGGGAGGGCTGGTGCTTGTCCCTGGAGTCCCCATGGAGCTGACCCCCATCTCTGCCTTTCCCTGGGGGCTGACCTGTTTGCTGTCACCCTGCAGGCTGCCCTATGCTGGCTACTTTGGTGGCGTCTCTGGGCTGAGCAAGTCCCAGTTCCTGAAGATCAATGGCTTTCCCAATGAGTACTGGGGCTGGGGAGGAGAGGACGATGACATCTTTAACCGGTAGGTCCCAACCCCTCGCCAGCGCTGGCTGGTTGGGGCGTGCTTGGGCTCCCTTCCGAGCACCAACCTGGCACCCTCACCAGTGCCGGGCTTCCTGTTTTGCAGGGGACGTGCACAGGCCATGCTGCATGGCGAGGAGGGATTGAATTACCCTCCAACTTGAGGGTTGGTGACCCTTGTGGATCAAACTGACCCCTCCCAGGGTGCTGGGGGGCTGTGGGGCACCCGCGTGCCTTCCTTGGGGCTGAACCCCCCCAGTGGTGGGGCCTGGCTCCCTCCCACTGCGGCGTGAGCTGTGCCGGTGGGGTGGCACGCCTGCGGGCTCCGCTCCAGGCCGGGGCCTGGATGCTAAACTTGGAAGCGTCCGGGGCTGGGATGCAAAACTTGGAAATGTGTCGGTGGCAGCCGTGCAGCAGC